TGCGTTGTCCGGGCTGCGTGCTCTCACGAGCGTAAATACGGTTACGGAGAGGAGCAGAGAAACGCCACGGAGTTGTGAGCGAGGGGGGAGAAACGCATCTTTGACCCAAACCGCTGTGTTGGCAGCGCGGGGGGGCTGCTGGGGAAGGCAACTCCTGCGGACAGGGAGGCTCCAGCACCAGCCCCAGGCGGAAAAACCGCTGCGGAATCCTGTAGCGCTAAAACTTTTTGTCTGGTTCTCGGATGTGAGCGTTCAAGTCTTGCGTTGTGCTTGGTCTGCCCCTCTTTCAGCTCGTAGGTACTTTCGAGGCAAAACCTGTTGCAGGATGTGTTTTGTAAGCGAATCGAGCCAAGGGTTTGGTCCGCTTTGTTGCGCTTTCTGGTTTTCTACTCTTGCTCTGTGATTTCCTGTAAACCTTGACAGAGGATTTTGGTTCTGTTGTCTCGGACCTGCCCTGAGGGTGGTAGGCTCTTTGCCTTTACTTAATATTTCCCCTTGAATATTTTTCACAATGTTTGTTTCATCCCTGGCTGGTTTGTGGTGGGAATAACTTTCTTCTTTCCGTTTTTCCCCAGAAAACATGAAGGAAATGAAGGAGCCAAGACATCGCAAAGACAACAGGCGCCCAGACTTGGAGATTTACAAGCCTGGCCTCTCCCGGCTGAGGAGCAAACTCATGCTGCCAAAGCACGAGGCCTCAGAGAAGGAGAGGAGCAGAGCTCAGGAGGAGAGTGCCAGTGATAAGGCCCCTTCAGGAGGAGGGGCTCCAGTCATGGAGAATTTTGACAGCGGTAACGGCCCCAAGCAGATTGGTCCTTCACAGAAGAACGAAGAGACAGAGACTAAAGGTGGTCTTGAAAGCCAGGAGAACTTGTCCAGGCATCTCGCTCCAGATGAGTGGTGTCCCAAGACCACCAGGAGAACCAAGAAGCCAGACCAGCAGATCTACCAGCCTGGGAAACGCCTGCATTCAGCTGCTAAAGAACCGTCCCTGCGTTCAGCTGCTGAGGAGGTCACCAGTAAGATGGAGCAGCTGAAAGTCGAGAGAGATGAAGAAACTGAGAAAAGTACTGGAAAAGACACCGACAGGAAAACCAAATCAAGCAAGGAGGGTAGCCAGGCAGGGGAAGGAATGAAAGCCTCAAGGGGAGAAAACGGAAGACGACTAGAGCGAAGCGACAGGATAAGGAGAACAAGCGACGAGGTGATGCAGGGGAAGCTGGGCTCTACCAAACGGTACTCCCGCTCTGACAAGCGGCGGAGCCGGTACCGTGCCTGCAGCACAAGCTCAGCTGGAAGCAGCAACAGCGTAGATGGAGCCCCACTTGTGGACGGGGTAGAGAGGCGGCAGGAGCGGCCCAGAGAAAGAACACGTCCTAGGAAGCAGCTCTCTGCATCCTCCACTGACTCCTTGGACGATGACAGAATCGATGAGGCAGAGGCATATGTCTCTAGCAGGAATTTGGACAAGAAAAAACGTTCAGAGCAGAGTCGAGCTGCTAAGAGCGAGAGCGAGTGGAACAGCAATGGCAGGGAAGTCAAGGGATCCTTTCGAGTCACATTTGACAGCAAGACTATGAACAGGGATATCAGTCTGACAGATGCAGATAAAAAAAAGCCCCTGAAGGCGTTTGTTAGTTGCAATGACTCAGAGGCTTGGGAGGCGAGGAGCCAGAGCAGAGAGCCCCAAGGGAGGGGCCGTGGGATTCTGTTCCTGCCTGCCAACACGGACCTCTCTGCCAGCACCGCGGGCTCCGCCGAACCCAGTCACCCTGGGCCCAGACTCCTGCCTGGCGGGGCTGGGTGTAAAGGCCCCCGAAGCAGGGGCCGAGGCGGCACTGTTCGCAGGCTGTGGGACCCGAACAACCCGGACCAAAAACCCGCCTTGAAGAGCCAGACCGCTCAACTTCACTTTCTAGACACGGACGATGAAGTGAGCCCCACCTCCTGGGGGGAAGCCCGCCAGGCCCAGACATCCTACTATAAGTTCCAAAACTCCGACAACCCCTACTATTACCCGCGAGCCTCTGGCCAAGGCCCGCCGTATCCTTACAGCGGGTACTCCTTGCAGTATCCCATGGGTCCAAGTAACGGTGTGTACCCAGGACCCTATTACCCCGGCTACCCCGGCCCTGCAGGGCAGTACATGTGCGGCCCGCTCCCTCCGGCTCCTCTGAGTCCTGAGATGGAGCAACAGATGCGGAACATGCAGCAGCAGGAGCTCAGCAAACTCCTCCGTGAGGCTGGGAACCAGGAGCAGCAGCTCAGCAATCTGCTTTCCAGAGACCGCATCAGCCCGGAGGGGCTGGAGAAGATGGCCCAGCTGAGGTTTGTGGCTGCACTGTACAGGGTTGCGTGTGACCAAGTCATTGCCAGGGTGAACTGCCAGAACTGTTATCCACAGAATGGTGTCTCCTTGGGGATCTGGTATACCGGAGACGTCAGTGTCTCAGAGACTGGGAGATGGGGCAGTGGCTCCGCTAGCTTTTGATGTGCTGGGTCTGTTTGTTGTGTGCTGGTGGTGTGCGAGTATCAGAGGGAAACTGTGGGTGAACATACTGCTTGCCTGGGCTGGGAGCTAAGCTGTGGTCTCTTGTGGTTGTGGAATGCCTTGCCAGTGTTGCAGGGATGCAGAGGAGCAGGACAAGGATCCACTGCGACTCTTAGGTTTTTCTTGCTCTTGCTGGAGCTGATCTTTCTCAGTTCCAGTGTTTTCACGTGCTTTCGGTATTTGTTGGTGGACTTCTGCTGTCTTACTTGCCCTTGGTTGTCTGCTCTCTGATTTGCATTGCGGGCTTTAGGGGCGTTGCACATCGTGGGTTCCTGGTGCTGCGTGACAGCGACGGCGCCTTTCAAGCACTGGTGGTTTTGCTCTTGACACCACTCAACGCTGTGACGTACGGTGGTCCAGTGAGAGTAGTCTGGTGACACCAGCTAGCGAGAGGGAAGCGACGCTGGTGCTCTGGAGGGTAGCTGACATGGCCGTAGCAAGTTTCTACTTGGCATCTTTCGTGTTTACTTGTCACCTCCATGTCTCCAGGGCTTCTCTGGAGACATTTTCAGAAGTGACTGGCAGCAAACATAGCAGGTGAGCTCGTTTCAGGGCTTGTTCTGTGTTTTGGGGGCTTCTGCTATAGACCACAGAGTGGGATATATCTCCACTTGAAGCAGTGTTTGAGATTTCAGGTCTTCCTCAAGGTGTCAAGGACCCCCAGAACTGTTGTTTGGAGGGAGAGGAAAGACTGTGCAGTGCTGTTGTGGCGGTCCTGCCCTGGGAGCATAGGCACGGTTGACCCCGTCCCTTCTGGCAGTGTCCGTCCCCCTCGATGTGTCTCCTGCCCGTGGCTGAGTGCGTGTGGCCAGCCTGACTGCGGAGCAGTGTTGGGGCTGTTGGATGCAAGTGCTGCTTACTGGATGTCCATGTGCAGAAAAGTCTAGTTCTCTTGGTCAGTGTTGGTGCTGTCCAAGGGGCTGTGTGCAGGGTTTGGGCACTGCGTGGGGGAGGGCAGCTGAACTGTGCTGTGCGCTTTGCACAGCAGCCCGCCCGCATCCTTCTCTTATTCTGTCAGGCTCTTCCAGGCATTGCCCTCTGGCTTCACTCCAGTCTTTACCATCTGCGCTGTTGTACTGTTTTCTGTAGGGCTTGTAGCATTACAAGGGGTGAGGCTGCCAAGGCAGTAACAGCTGAGGATCCCCTTTATCCTAAACTCGCCTCACGTACTGCGGAGCTGTTTCTAGCTTGCAGCTATTTGATTAAATTCAGGGGAGAAATTCTGCTCCAGTGTCCGGGCAAGGCTGTAGGTAGCTGCTGAGGAGAATGTGATTTCTGGGACTCTGAGACTTTATTTCCTTCAGGTGTGATGTTCCCAGCTCTTGTTCATGTTTGAGGAAGCAGGCTTTCTGTTTCTGCTGTGTGTTTTGGTTGGATGGAAGGGAAGTGGGGATTGTTTTAATGGCAAGACCTCTCCCGCTCCTCTGGTTCTTTGTGTGTTTGTTCCTGGCCCTTAGTAGCCAGACTTTGTGCTCAGAAGGAGCAGAGCCTGGCAGTGCACGCTGTCTCTGTGTTAGTATGAGGAGACACTTGTGCCTTGCTGTTCCCAGTGGCAGAGCTGTAGCAGAGCTCCTTGCTCTTTGGCAGGCGCAGATCCTTTCTGATCCATATGCAAAAGGGAGATGGTCCTTTCAGATGTGCCCTTCTGGAGTAGGAAGGGTGTTTGATTGCAACAGCTCCCATTTCCCTCTGGGATGCGTGTGGAAGCATCAATTTGCCGTAGCGTGCGAGCCGGCCGAACCACTGACATCTCGTGCTTGCTGGATGGAAAGCAGCAGGTGGTTCAGCACATGTTTCCTGGCAGCTCAGGCCTGGGCTGGGCAGTTGTTGTGTGTTGACTGTGTATTGTGTTTCACTGTAGAGTGGAGATGCTGCAGCTGTATGAACGGTGCATCCTGATGGATATCGAGTTCTCCGATACCCAGAACGTGGACCAACTGCTGTGGAAGAACGCGTTTTACCAGGTGATCGAGAAATTCCGGCAGCTTCTCAAGGACCCTCAAGGGGAAAATGCCCAAGAAATTCGGAACAAACTGCTCCAGCTTCTAGATGAGGTAAGAAGAGAGAAGCATCCCCAAACTCCACTAAACCTTTGGGTGGGATCGTTTGGTGTTTAGAATGGGACGCTGTAGCTGGACAACTAGCCTTCTTGATCCAGCTCGTGTCTCTGTGTGCCTTGAGCCATGGTTGTGCGAGGAGAATGCTCAGACAGATTATTATTTAGTGTGGTGGGGGTAGGTCTGGGTGGACATTGGTTATAATTGAAACCAGGCTTATTTTGCTGTGTTTTATGTTAGTTAGAAATTGATTTAAGCTAAAACGAAATGAATGCTCTGAAGTGGATGTATACAGAAGCATTCCTGGAGGTGATTGTGCTGTCTTTATCAAATTCGCTTAAAAGTCATTCCGTTAAACTGTGCAGCTCAGTTTACTCTCTGTAGAAGGCAGGCTGACGGAGCCAAGAGGATGTATTTTATAGAATTAGGTTGGTGGGAAGGGACTGGTGGAGGGCTTTTGTCCAACCTCCTGCTCAAAGCAGGACTCCTCAAACACTAGATCAGGTCAGTTTTGATTTTTGTCTAGCTCAGTCTTGAAGACCTCTGAGGCTGGAGATCTGCCAACCTTCATGTTGTTTTCTGAAGAGAAACAGCCCAAACCTCAGGGAGAGAGACCTTTCTTGCACGTGGTAGGGATGGTGTGGTGATTTTGTGCTCCTCATCAGAAAGATTGTAACATCCGAGTATGTGTGTGTTTTACAGGGTTCGTCTTTTTTTGATGCCCTACTCCAGAAGCTGCAGGTGTCGTACCAGTTCAAGCTAGAGGACTACATGGATGGGATGGCCATCCGCAGTAAGCCTCTGAGGAAAATGGTAGGTTGGCTTCCTCCTGGAGAACTTCTCATCCTGTTAATCGTATGCAACATGCTGAACTCAGTGTGCTGCCCTTGCCAAGAGGTAGGCAGCTGTACTCCAAACAGGTGTCAGTATGTTTGCAGAGAATCTCTCTCAGCTGTTAGAGAACTTGTTGAACCAACTCTGGTGCATTAACATTTCCTAGCTTCCTTTGCAAAGAAGAACTTTTTTCTTTTTTTGTACCAGCTCTGTGACCAGGGCTAGTAAAGGGAAAGAAGTGTCCAAAGGTGCCCTGGCTTTGCCTTAGATATTGAACATCTCTTACTTCTGTCCTTGGAACCTGGAATAATGAACAAGGAAAGCTAACAGTTGCGCTGCCTCCCTGACACTTGACAGCGTATTGCCCTGAGCTGTGAACGCAGGTGCAAGGAACAGCTGGGAAAGGATATTTTAGTCCAGCTCCATTCCCGGAGAGATGTGTTTGTCTAACAGCTGTCCTCCAATTGGTCATGGACTGAACAACTCTCTTCTGCAGAGAGATGGAACATTGTTGTAAGAGAGGAGGTGTTTAGGGGATTGGCTTGCCCCTACAAATGCTGAACCAGTGCCATGGAGTCTTGTCGTTTCATTCTGCTGCCTTTTTGTGAGACCTTCAGTGTGCCGGTGACCTGCTCTTAGCTCTCTACAGTCCCTGTGTGCTCACTGGGTCTGCAGGTGAGCCAGGGCTACGCAGGTCCCACATGATGTACTGAATGCTTCTTTCCAGGTGAAGTATGCGCTGATCAGTGCTCAGAGGTGTATGATTTGTCAAGGGGACATTTGCCGATACAGAGAACAAGCAAATGACACCGCAAATTACGGAAAGGCACGCAGGTATTGTGTTCTTCACCGCAGCGCTGAGCGCAGCTCTTCCTCTGTCTACAAGGGATGTGTCTCATTTCATGCTTAAACTTGCCTCTAGCCAAAGAAGTCTTTCCATGCCTCTATTGTATTGCAATTCTGTGAAGCTCTAAGATGTGACCTAGACTGATTTGCTGTCCCAGAGACCAAGACAGCAGATCCAGTCATCCTCCAGCCATCTAGTGTGGAAGTTCTCCTGTGCTGATCCTGCAGCAGGGAGGGTTTGTGCTGTTGAGGCTGGCAGAACGGCTTCTTGTATTTTCTGGTAGCTTTTCAGCTAGGAGAGGTTCTCATATGTGTCCGTGTGTTCTGACTGCATCAGGAGTTACTGGCACTTGTTGCTTCCTGTCACTCTTGTTTTTCTGATGTTTTTTCTGGACCAAAGACTGGTGGGGGGCAAGTGAGCCTGGCATGGGGAATGGAGCCCTGAAATCTCTGGAGGTTTGGAGAACGGGAGGGAAAGCTGCCTGTTTTGGCATCTGTGGACATCATGGAGTATGCTGATATCTCCGGGAGGCTGGGGAGAGCATAGTGGGTTGATGACGTGTCTGAGCAGTGTTGATGGATCTGTGTGGCATAAGATGGAGAGTGGATAATACAATTGAGGGAAAATAAAGAGGAGGATGGAGGGGTGAATGGACTGCCACTGAACAGATGCCTCTTCTCTTGGGATGATTAAATATCTTGAAAATATTGGAAACAAGCTGAGCAACAAGGAAGGTTTGGTCCCAGCTGCCATGAAGCTAAAAAGGAGACAGAGAGAAATGTTCCCGAGTAGCCTGTTCCCTGTGCCTGAGGCTGCACGGGGGACAGTTCTTGCTGGATCTGGCTAAATGCTCATCTTCAGGCTGAGCCAAGAACATTTCCTTCCGCAGCTGTATTTGCCCCTCTGTCATGTCCTGTGCCCTGACTGTGCCTCTCCAGACTGGGTGCAGAATCGCTGCCTGTGCACCCTCTTGCAGGCAGAGGGCACTTGTGCAAAGGGCCTGTTCCCTGCAGGACTGCCAACGCTGCGCTGCAAGGGGAGTTCTGTGCCCTTAACAGCAAGGAAGGCAACCTGATGTCCTTTCAGTAACTCTTTCTCTCTGATTCTTCCCTTCCTCAGCTGGTACCTGAAGGCTCAGCAAATTGCTCCCAAAAACGGCCGCCCGTACAACCAGCTGGCGCTTCTGGCCATCTACACGGTAAGATCATGCAAGGATGTGGCAGGCACAGGGAAAGCCTCTGGGACAGCTGTGAGATTCCATCTGGCGGAGAAAGGCATTGTTTAGGACAGTGCTCCCAGATGAGTGTTTTGAAAAAGAAGAAAGCTGATGGCAGGATGTGTTATGTGGATTCCAGCTGCTGTGGCTTCAGGCAGCTTTGTTAGATACATGCTGCTCCCTCAGGCTATCGGCATTTTGGGGACTGTTCCGTGGGCTGTTGAGAGTGCAAATGTTTTAAAAGCGGGTTGTGTTTAAATTTTGCACGAGATTTTTGTGCTCGATGCCATGCTATTGTGAGGATGCTGTTTGTTTGCCATGTCCTTCTCGAACCTGTGAACACTGGTCTAAGCGACATCCACACATGACTCTTAGGTTTCAGTTTTGCTGGCTACTCCAGCTGTGCAGGAAAACTTACTTCAAGGAAGATGTGGCAGCAGATAACGGAAGCATCAGGCTGGGACATAGGAGCTGATAGGAATCTGCCCTTTTGCAACACTGAAAAATGCTGGTTTAAAGCAGTTCAGGACTGCATGGTTCAGAAACTCATTTCCTTCATGGCTGGGAATGACCTTTCTGACTCCCAGTGTGGGGCTTGGAGCAGCAAAGTGTCCCACCTTCTGTGGTGGTTTGTAAGGTCCAGCAGCACGTGGGTGAAACCCTGAATGGCTGTGTGTCTTGATAGTGTAAAGACTTGGGAGGTGCCTTCTTGCTCCCCATGGCCAGCCTAGGGGAGAAAAGATGCTAAGAAATTGCTCGAGCAGGGATTAGCCCAGTGGCAGGCTGAGATGAGGTGAACATCTTGTCCCACCATTGACAGAAGTCTGGCAAAAACCCTCCAGTCTTCCTGGACCTCTGCTCTTTGTGAAACTTGTGTGGAGTCGTTTCCATATTCGTGGTAACGTTGAAAACGTTTATTTCCTGAACTGGCAGGAATTCAGTGTTTATACTGTTGTCCTTTACCATGAGTTTTGCTGCGACTGTTTTGTGTGAGCTGCCGGGTTGATGGTTTCTGTAGCAGGCTTAGAGCTAAAGAAGGTGCTTCTTCAGGCTGCAGTGTCACCTGCACTCCCTAAGCCTGGCAAAGGGCTCGTGCTTTGTGCCAGTGGTTGTAGGTAGCTGTGAACGTGGCTGGAGAGTTCAAGGTCCTGCTTGTCCTACTGTTTGTTGGTGTGTCTGTCCTAGACAGTATAGAGGGAGAGGGCACGTGTACTGAGAAACAGGGAAGGTGAAGTATGTGGGAGCTTGGCTCTGAATGCCCCAGAATGAGTGAGAGCTCCGAGTCTGGTTGTGTTTTTGCAGAGGAGAAAGCTGGATGCTGTCTACTATTATATGCGCAGTCTGGCTGCTAGCAACCCCATCCTCACAGCCAAGGAGAGCCTCATGAGTCTGTTTGAAGAGACAAAACGCAAGGTGAGTCTTGGAACTGGGCTGCGGGATGGTGTGGCTGCCTGTGCTGGCTCTTCTGTACCGGAGAGCTGTGATCCAGAGAGGAGGGTGATGGTGGCTTGGAGTCACCACTCATCTGCTTCTAAGAAATTCCATGCTGGGAGTCAGATGAGAGACAGAGTCTTCAGAATTACGGTGTCCTTTCTGCCTCTCCTCAGACTCCTTTTGGGGTGGTTTGGGCAGCTGAATCTCTTGTTTCTGGGTTGCAAACTGTAAAAGCTCAGCAGGGGCTGTGGGTTGCTGTGGTTTGCACCACGGCCTTGGCTTGTAGTGTGATTATTGCCTTACCCAGAGGTGCCCCGTAGGGGTGGACAAGAGAGGCTGCAGTCCCTTTTTTCCCCAGAGGGTCACCCCAAGTCAAAGATACAGCACGGTGGCCATCACACACTGCTAGGACTGGGCACAGCTTTTCTTGTCCTGGGGCAGCTGGAGTTGAAAGCTGCTCACCTGCACTGTCCTATAGTGTTGAAAACCAAATTCTGGACCTATCAATGAACTACTGTGGTTCTGAAGCAGGAGGAAGAGCTAATTTCTACATGTAATGAAGTTATATACTTTTCCTGAACTTTGATCCCTGGGTGATCTGAATCTGTCCTGTCTGCCCAGGCTGAGCAGACGGAGCAGAGGAAGCATCAGGTGCTGGATCTGAGCCCCAGCCGTCGAGGGAAGGGCAAGAAGTCCACATTGCGACAAGTTGGAGATGATGCCACACGGCTGGAGATCTGGATCCATCCTTCCCACCCCCGCTCCTCCCAGGGCCACGGGTCCGGCAGGGATTCTGAGCAGGACAACGGTCTTGGGAACCTCAGCCCCAGCGACGTGAGTACTGCAGGAGGCGGCAGTTGGCTTTGGTGTCATGTGTTTGGAATGCAGTGGAATGACACTGGATCTGTTTTGCTTTCCTGTTGCTAAATTTTCCAGTGTTTTGGCTTCCCCTATGGGAGCTGTGCCTGGGTCAGGCTGAGGAGCTGGTGACCTCGTGCCTCTCATGTTTAAGGCATGTTGTTACCATCCATTTCTTGGCAGTGTGCGCTGGCGTGGCTGATATGGAATAGGAGAGGCACAAAGCAGAAGATGCTGTAAAATGCCTCTGCTGAGGGCTCTAACTTGGGTGAGGTTGCCGGTGGGAAATGAGGTCAGATGCTGAAGACCAGGGTTAACAGTGATCCTGTAAGCTCTGAGGCTTTTTCTGGAAGTGGCTCACTTGTTCCCAGTGCCAGATGATTGGAGGTTTGCACCGGGAATGTGAAAACCATGGCTTCGTTTTCCAGTGTAGGTGTTACCTTTGCATCACTGGTTCTGCTGAGAGGCCAGAATATTTCCTTTCTTTTGCAAGGATAAAAAAAAAAAATAAATGGACTAACGGTGTCTCTCGTCAGTCTGTCCAAGCTGTGTACCTTGCAAGAGGAGCCCGACGAATTCTGTTTGTCAGGCACAGGAATGCAGGCAAAGGCAGTGGTGGTTGGGAGCTCATCCCCTAGGAATCCTCACTCCGCTTTGGCACATGCGGCTTGCAAGAGAACTTGCCAGGGAGCTCTGGGCTGCCTGTCCTAAAATGGCTGTTAAGGATGTGAGTTTAGCAGAACTGGGAAGACCTTCTCCGCATACTGCGGGGCCCGGAGCTTCTCGGATACGATTGCACTTTTATAACTAGTTTGTGACTTCAGCTGGGTGGAACTGGGGTGAAGTCTTGGAGCTTTGAAAGATAAGCTCTGGCACACAGCTGCAGCATTTTTAAGACGTTACTGCCCTTGGTTGTTTTCCCTCTCCTCAGCTTCTCTTCTGGAGACCTTTGCTTCCTCAGCATCACGGAAAGGAACGTACCAAGCTTTAGCCTCTCCATAAATCATTGATGAAGATGCTTTGACATAAGATGCTGTGAGTGTTTTTGAGGCCCCAAGTGTTTCTCTTTTGCAGTGCTCCCATGTGAGGTAGCAAAACCGCTCACAAAGTGGGGGACAGCGATGTCTCATGGTTTGCAGTGCAGCACTCTTTGCTGGAGCTTGACCTTGGTCCGTTAGATGGAGGGCTGTGCTCCCTGAAGTGCAGGTTGCTGGCAATGCCTGTACAGATTGTGTGTCTGATTACTGCCATTAGTCTTGATTTCTTAATCTGCTTGTAACGTCGGCTCGTTGAAAGCGTGAGCTTTGCGATCATGGAGAGGCCACATGATCCGAAATAATGGCAAAAGGGCAGAGGGAACTGGGGGCACAGGTTTTGGCACTGCTGGTTTTGGCAGGATGTTTGTACTCGGGCTGCCCGCGCGTGCTGCAGTGCACCACTCCACTTGTGTTGGCGCAGCTGCTGATGGGGCTGTGCCGTGGCCGTCTCGCTGAACCTGCCTGGTTTAAAAACAGCCAGGTGAAGAGGAAACCTTACAGCTGTGTCGCTGCCAAAGCTCCGCTGCTGTGAAGCCGTGGGCTGGGTAAAGACAGCAGCTCTTGGGGAAGCTCTGGACTCCTTGCCCCTTGGAGCTATAGCCTCTTATCCTCTTCCTCACTGCATCTCTGGGTGGTTTGCAGCTCCCTCTCTGGAAAGGAGCGGAGCAGTCCGTGTGTTGCCACTGTGCGGCACTGTTTGGCCTCGGAAGGGCCCTGCCTGCACCAGGGGCAGGCAGCTGCCTTGGCCCTGGCAGCACCTCTGCCCCACATCCCCCAGCTGGGCGGACGGGAACAGCTCTTCTCCCAGGGGATGTGTGCCAGTGCTTACGTGTCATTTTGGGGAAGTGAGTCTAAGCTGTGTCATCATCTCCTCGGTCCCTTCCTTGCCAGCTTTAGCCCTTGAAAAGGCTGAGATAAGCCATGTTCTTTCGTTAGTACCGACAGCTGTGCTCTGCAGGTAGCTCCTCGGGCATCGATCTTTATGGCAGCTGTTTCTGGGCCAGACAAGGGAATTTTGCAGGGTAGAACAGGAAAGTGTTGAGCTGCTAGAAGTAGATGCAACGCCGCAAGTGTAGACTCTAATGGCCCTGGACACGTAGAGGGCAAAGGTGTGGAAGAGAGGCTCCTTCTGCCCTTCAAATGGAGGCTGTTGCTTCAAACCCAGCACAAGCCAAAGGTGACCGGTGTTTTTACTGTGGAGATGCTGGCTGTTTCACACGTGACAAGAAGTTGATTTGGAATGTTTTCCATCCTCGATGATTGCTTTTTTTATCGTGCAGGCAGTTAGGTGCCAGTCCTGTGATGTGGCACACTTCACAGGGAAATGCTGAAGGATTACTCTCCCAGGACCTGCTAATGTGCATGCTGTCCTCATCAGCAAGCAGAGAGTCTGCTGAGCACATGCTTGCGCGTCTCTTCTGAGTGCTGACTTTATTTTTCCTTCTGCAGGCTTATACAAAGACGCAAACATTATTATTTTACTTCAGAGTGAGGAGCCAACTGAACCAAGTTAGTAAAGTGTGATGGCAAGTGTGCTGAGGACCAGCTCACACTGCAGCCGTTGCTGTGAGGAGGAGAGGTGGCATGCAGTGCTGGCAATTTGCCCTGGCACTGTGTGTTTAGGTGGAGGCTTGACATAGCTGCTTTTTTCACGGTTTGCTGCATCGTGTTTTCTAGGGAGATGCAGAACTGGAAGAATGTACCATCTGTCCACACCGAGGGGCCGCATCTCCATTTGGCCTCTTCCTCAGAAACTGGATTTGCCACTGCTGACACAGAGGGCATGGGACAGTTTCAAACCGAGCTGAAGACGTGTTTGGGTTGTAGCCTGACTGTTTTGTGCTTAGACTTTTGTCCGTTACGCGTGCAGCCTTTTGGGGTTTCGTTCTGTGAATGGCTGTTCTCTGTGGTCTCTTGTACATTTTGTATTTCTAGGTATGCAATGGCAGAAGAGTCCAGGCTGACCCAGTGCCCTGCTAACCTGACAGTATCAGGTCACTTTGTGTGGGATTCCAATAAGAAATGCAAAAAAAAAAAAAAAAAAAGGAGGCTGAAACAATGAGCAGCTGTATTGCTCTTTGAAAACAGCTGGATAGGGCAAAGGGAGCTGAAGAGCTGAGTCTTTGCCATTTCTTCTCTGCCACTGGTTTCGTTTGTTGTGAGCCTGTATTGATCTTAAATCTGATAGTACTGTACGCAGCTTACTGCCGGGACTGTGAATTGGTAAAGTAAACGGGGCAAACGTGCTGTCAGTCTCTTGAGAAAGTGTTAATATTACACTGAGTTTGAGATTTTAATCACCCCTGTCAGGAAATGCTGAGTTAAGGTTCCCACAGTCGCTGTTGCCTGCTGCCCGTGCTCTGCAGTAGATGCTTCCTTGTGTTATCACGCAGCATGCGCGCATGGATGAAGATTACTCCATAGCTGCAACTAAGATTAGGGAAGAGAGGTTTTCCCTTGGCACAACAGTAATTGAATAATACTTCTCTCCAGATGTCTGAATACTTTAGCATCATTAAAGAATTAAGTCTCCTGGCCTCTTTGAGAGGTCAGTCTTGTAGGGCCACCCAAAAAGCTCTTTGGAAGGCTAAGGCCAGGGTTGAGGGCTGCTGTCTCAGCCCTGCGCATTGGCTGCAGGAACCTTCTCATTTCCCCTCAGCCCGCTGACTAGGGACAGAGGGGTTGCGTTTGTCTGGTGCTGGGTGCCAGTGGAGTAACAACCCCTTTGCAATAGCAGAGAAATTGCGATGGAATCGTTAGCTCTGAAGTTCAGAGCAGGTTTTAATCTCAATTTCTTTACACAGGCTTCCTTCTCAGGAGCAGGGAGTGTCTGTGTGCTTGTTTGTGGGTTTGGTTTTTTTTTTTCTTTCAGATGAGTAGTGCTGATCTCTTTTGGACCCCTTTGTCTTCTTCCATCTCTTAAGTCCTACAAAATCAGATGAGTGCCAAGCATGCAGGGAAGTGGTCCTCTGTGGCTGGATGAGGGCAGTGTCTTCTCAAAGTAGCTGTCCTGCTTTTTTCCTTCTAGATTAGGATTCAGCTAACTGGGAACCTGTCCAGCAATGCTTGGTTGGGGCTATCTTCACAACTTACCGTGGTTTGTTTCTTTCTGATATAAAGGATTCTCAGCTTCTGTCTTTCTCAGTTCTTCTTGCCTGCTTAGTTTTATTTCTGACTTTACCTGCCTCACCTGTGCACCCTGATGCTGTGTCTACTTAACTTCTGCCACCCAGTTGCGGTCCAAGGCTGGAGAAGGCACTTTTGGGAACACCTCTTCATCCAGGAGCACTGATGAGTCCTCGGAGCTGCCCAAGCTGCTGCCTCAACAGAGGCCTTGTGTCCTTAGTGAAAAGGATTGCTGTCCTAGTCAACTCCTGCATGTTTCACATCTGTTTTTCCTCTGCAGTGTGTGTTGTTCCTGCCCTGTGCACTTGTTCCTCCTGGGCAACAGCTGCTCAGGTGTCTGGGCTGGCTCCTTCTCCTGACTACTTTCAGTCAGTGCAGTTTTTTGTTTGGGGAACTGTCTCTTGGGCTCTGCACCTGGAGAGGGATGCTCCTAGGGAACAGTGGGATAAAACCTCCCGTTGGTCTGGTAGGACATTCGGTGGGAGTTTCTTGGCTGTTTGTGCACTTGTTCCTCCTGGGCAACAGCTGCTCAGGTGTCTGGGCTGGCTCCTTCTCCTGACTACTTTCAGTCAGTGCAGTTTTTTGTTTGGGGAACTGTCTCTTGGGCTCTGCACCTGGAGAGGGATGCTCCTAGGGAACAGTGGGATAAAACCTCCCGTTGGTCTGGTAGGACATTCGGTGGGAGTTTCTTGGCTGTTTTGCTCCGTCAGTGTGTCCTTTGCTTGGACCAGTCACACACAGGAGTGGTAGTGACCTGTGTTTGGAGTTGGGGTTGCCTTGATGTCACTACCTGTGGTCCCTAGGAGCGTCTGG